AATGCCATACTTTACTCCAGAAAGGAAACCTCGTACAGCAAAAATGCCCGATTGCAACAGCTCCATGAAAGACTACCTGTCAGACTCAAGTTTTCTTGCTCAGGGCTTCATGCCTCAGTGTACTAACTACTGTACAAACCGCAAGCAAGTGACAGACTGCCAAAGATAGAGACTGACAGGTAAATCCTAAACTAGACCTTGCTAATTCTCATTCTTAGTGGGAGTGTTAGAGCCTGGGCAGGGCTGTACTGCCCTGATATGGCTACTGGGGACTGATTGCAGGTACTGGTGCAGGCAGTGTTCAGGCAGTATGAAGAAATTAAATTCAATTACCATTTCTACCCTGGGTTGCCTAATTGATGATAAACTAATTGTGTCTCTATTTCATGATTCAGTTGGCCTGCTTTAAAGGGGATCTCCAAACGGAAAGCTACTATTGAAGAAGTAAGGCATCAAGGATAGAGCTGAGAAGGGGGAATCTCTTAGGCTGACTGTTCAACAGGGGAAAACTGGTATCTGAGAAAGGTGGAATCAAAAGGGAGGTTGTATCAGAAACAGCTTACACCTGCAGATAAAGGGGGATTTTGACCTCAGTTCATGAACTGTAGAAAATGTTACTTTCAGCCTGTACTGAGGAGCCCCCAGATCTAAATAGTCAGCTGGCTAGAAACAGGGTTGAGTTGCAATCATAGTCATACACCTCACCTTGGAGGGCCAGAGATAAATTCAGTGAGCTGAGCCAGCATTTTTTTTTTCTTATCTCTAAGAAGTATGATCTTCAAGGAAATCTTCTGAAAGTGTAGGAAATCTTCTTAAAAGAAAGACACTGACAAGGCTGCCATTTACTTCCTAGCATGTTAGAGTAAATCTCTCTAATCTGAAGTGCAATGTACTTTCTGATAGTTATCTTTAGGTGGCAGTAAGGTAAAAGCATGGAGTAGAAAGTTAAGAGAAATCTCTAACGCATATTTAGAGCCCCTTTTCTCATGTACTCTACTGGCTATAACATAGAAAGGGACTTCATAAACCACTTGCATCTTCAGCAGATATCCAAAAAACAATTATTAATGTTGGCTTAGTTCAGATAACATACAGATGCAAACCTGTTGAATGACAGCAATATTAATACAATGACTGGATACTATACTAGGTATGCAATACTTGATCCATGAATCCCCAAGAACAGAGGCAAGGTTCACAGGTAGAGACACACTTGTATGTCCCTATCAACAAGAAGGAAGTACATTTTTTTAAAAAGTCACAAGAAAAAATAACTCCACCAACAAATTAAAGGTCTAAATCAAGAATAATCAGGGGTTTAAGAAGTAATTATTGACATGGAGGTTTATAGATTTTTTTTCCATTTACTCTTTTCATGTATGCATCTCTGGATTCCAAAGTCTTTCCTGAAGCTAAGAAGTAGTGATGTTTGCTCTCTCTAATCAACTTTCTACTAGAAAAAAAAGCCAGTAGGATAAAAACATACTCAAAATTTTTATCAAGTAGTATAATTAGCTAAGTAATGCAACAGTGTCATGTAGTGTGCTAAGGCAAGTATTATGTAGCCAATAAAGGTCTATCTTATATCATTAATATTTACAGTTGGAAGCACAAGATGGCTGCAATTGAAGTGCTGCACCCAGCAAAGGCTAGCTGTTGACTTGATACCTTGTTGTCTGACAGTGTGAGACAGTCAAATAGCTACTTACTTCATCACCACTTGACAGCATAATATTAATGCTAGGTAGCAACACATGGCTGTTTTGCAGGAGCTTAGCCCCAAATAGGGAGAATAATTTCATTGGAACAGTTTTGAGATTGTAGGCTTAGCTTATTAGCAGAGAACTAGGGTTGGAAAATGTCTGGCAATTACAAAATAAAACAGGTATCATAACTCTCTTTCTGCTATACTGTACTCTGCTGGCCCACCTATTATGCACCAGTGGACAGAGCAGTTTTTCTCATTCCCACAGAAAGCAACAAGAGGTAAGACTGACAGCTTCAGCACAGGTTGTACCAGTTCTTATGGAGAACCAGGACCTGGGGGAGATAGATGACCCTGCTTCACATTGTCACAGTCAAGGACCAGAGACCACAGAAGGTGGCTGCATCTGTATGTGATGCTAATCTTTGATGGGTACTTAGTGCTGTTCTCAAAGACCTGATTACAGAACTAAAAGAACATCTACCACTAGCATCAATAATTAAGGAAGAGATCTTTAACCTCAACTGTTTTGTGTTGGAAAGTAAAGTTTTGAGCAACCAGTTCTGTGCCCACAATACAGATTGTACAACTTCATTAATTGAAACTGATAACACAGAAGACAGATGAATCATGCTGGTGAAAACAATGTACATGGAAACATATTAGTGATGAGAAACAATATGCAGGGTTTACTTAGATGGAATTTGTGCTTCCAGATTGCAAATACCTCAGCAAAATTTATCTTTTTTTTCCCCCAATACAGAAAAAATTGGAATCTAGAATGAGAGATAGATAGATAAAATATGTGCAAAATTCAGAAAACCAAAAGTTTGCATTAGAAATGGTTTAGTTTCACCCTTAACATAGCTGTTGATAGGCTATGCTATCATTTTCTTCCCCATTCTCTTATCTAAATGCTGTCATTCCCATCAACCCCATCCTGAATATTATCCTTCACATGCTGGACTGCTCAACACCTATGCAATCAATGAAGAAAGCAGGTTTGAAATTAACTCTTTTTTTTTCTCATCATTTTAACTATTTCATTCTGTCTACTGAATCCCTCTTGAACTCTTTTCCTTGGGAACTGTCCTGCCCTCATCTTCAGCATTGTAGCATCTTTTCCTGTTTACCTGGTTTTGGGTTTAACCTGCTGACCCCCTCCCACCCACTTCACTCTCTCATGACAACAGAAGCAGACTTCCTCAAAAGACCACTACTGTGTGTTCTTCCAAATCCCTCTTCAGGAGTCATTTCTACTGGGACAACTATAGGAATGCAGTAAATCAACCCAGCTATATGCAGGGCAATAACAGAAAATTACTGTTTTCAGTCATAGTCTTTTTATTTTAAATATCATCCATTCCTTCCTGCAAGATGCTTGAATGATAAGGCTTTTATTCACCAGCAAGTTTTATTCATAGAAAATCTGCTGTCTCAAAGCTGTAATGCAGTTGTCCCCTATGGAGAAACACCACCTGATACACTGCACTGTTATCCATGTACAAAAATAATTCTATATGATACCGCAAAGCATTTCCCAAACTGGAAAGGGATGTTACACCCCAGAGACTGACACCTTTACTAAAACATTTGTCTAGTCTGTGATTTAGCAGCTATGGGACAAATTCCTCCTCGGCGTGGTTTGCCTGGATTTGCACCAGCTATAGATTTTCCCTCTTATCCTTTCAGACTGCAGCAGATGGTGAAGTTCCTACACCAGAGGCTGTCGATAGAATTTTAAAAGGCATCTCGTAACAGCACATTGGAGTTGCACATTTAATCTGTGCTGCACCACCAAGATGATCTTAAAAGGACCTGGAATACATGTACAAAATTAACACTGGCAGTTGCTGCAGAAATGCTATCAAGGAGTCTTCCCAAAGCCCACAGCTTAATGAGAGCTTACCTCCCAAACTGCCAGCCAAATCACTTCTCTGTGCATAACCAACTCTGCTGTCTAACAGAAAAGGCATTTAATACTCTGTCCTATAAGATACTGATCCAGGAAAATATCTGATGGAGATTTTAAGGCACTACTTATGTACTTCTGGCTTTTTTAGGTTCATCTCTGAGCTCACATAAAATACAGTAGCCAAAGCCAGAAATATTATTTATTCTGCCTAAGACAGACTATCCCAGACATACTAAATACCACTGTTTTCATGGCCGGACCATTTCCATTAAAGAGTTAATATAAGTCATATTTCAATACTGCGAGTAGTTAAAGAAATTATAGTTACTGTATGTAGCCTGTTCTGTAAAGATTAATTCCCTAAAGTGAGCTTCCAAGTTTGACAAGCTACTTGGCCAAAAGGCTAATATTGTAAATAGAAGGCCACCTGAGCTGAACATCACTGCAAGTACTAACACTGAGAGAGAGGAAATTGTTTTGATTTAAACACAGCACTGTTTCCAAGTGAACCAGGAATGGTCCTGCAGCTTAATGTGGGGAGGAGGAGGTCTGTGTATGCCGATCTGACTGGAAGATCAAGACTAATGAGCATAACACTCTTGTTTAACCAAAGTCTGCTTTACAATTTAGTTGCAACACTTTAGAAAGTTCTATCTCCAGTCTCCAATGTCTTGCTCCGCTATAATTAGAAAAAACTTCCTTGTTAACATCTTTAAGTGTCACAACAGTGTGACTTCATGTGTCAGGAGGGAGGCTGTCAGAATTTCTTAATGAGGCTCTTTCCTTGCAAGCCCAGCTAAATCCTAGACTTCAACCATCTCCATCATTTTTTCACAGGACACCAGAGATGTAATTCCTTCTTGATAGTAAAGATTACATTTTTCTGATCTATAACTGGTCTGCCAGATGATCAGTTTATCATTGTAGCTTCTAGCACTAATTCTCTCTACATTTGTGCTTTGATTTCAAGAAGAACTGTTAGACAACTAAAAGTTTACAATTTCCAGAGAGGAATTTATTTAAACTGTCACATTTCAACTAAGACAAAGTATTCAAACTACATTTTATGAGAAAAGGTATACTGGATAGAGGTAGTAGTGAATGTAGTTTCTTCAGAGACATTTTAAGAAACAATATCCACCAACAATAGTAATAATATCAGACAACAATACCCCCCAGAAAATAGAGAAATAATAATAAAAAAAAAAATTACTTACATTCTTCTTCAAGGTGAGCTGCCTGTATATATTATACTGCAGATCTTCTGCATACATCAGAAGTAATCATCTAAGTTTTGTCTTCAGCAATATCCATAGAGGTATGTAAAGGACTTGAGGTTTCATTCAGGCTCTCCAGCAATGGGATTGTCTTTTCCTGCAGATATCAGGAAAACAACTCAGAGGCTGATGGCAGAAACAACAACAGCAATGCTGAAAAATTCAAGACTGTCTACAACTCTATATGTGCTATAGATAAATTTTCAGAGGACTACAGAGATGAATGAGGGACAACAGAATAGCCTCCTCCCAGTGGACATGGTGTCAGCTAGAGAAGTTCCCAAGATGTGGAGAGAAAAGTAGTCATGCTTACCTGGTATACAGGCGGCAAAGCTACCTGTGACCGGCACCAGAGCCAGTATGTGGCAACCACAGGCTGCCCTGAACTGGAGCTACAGGCTGCGGGGGAAGGCCATCACATCTTCAGGCTCTGGAGATCTTAACCAGGTATTGAAGGCTCCAAGTCTGAATCTGGTCCTCCGACAAACGGGTCTTACTCATTAAGGAAGAAAAACAAGAGAGAAACCCTGCAGCAGTCTTTCTAGGCCTGTTTTTTTCTCTTGCTTTCTGCTTCTCAGTTTCAGAGAATTCAAATACTTTTTCATCAAGTTTAAAGTACTGCAAATATAGTGCCTTTCTGGAATGACTTCCTTCACAGACAGAGACCAGAAGAATGGCTATGCAATGTGACTCCCATAGAAAATGCACTTTTGAAGCCCACAAGATAAACTGAAGATTTGTAAGGTGTGCAGAAGGAAAAGGAATTGGTGACCTCACTGGTGCTAAACAGTGGAAAATCAGCTAAGGTGCACTGCAGACACTAAGGGCTGCCTCCTTTGTTGCCACAGGTACCAAAGTAGAAAAGAATAAATTATTCAAGCACCTGAATTATAACTGTGTATAGGCACACTCAACATAGAGGGGTACCCACATGGACAACAGCATGAAGTAGGAAACAAGGATAAAAGCATAAAGAGGATAAAGCAGTTGAAGAAAATAGGTGATGCATATAGAATCTTAAAAATAGTTTCCCATTTCCGGTGGCCTGTGCAGTGTTTGGCTCAGCTGGACATGAGTCTGCTCTCTTTAAATGAGTCCGAAATGGACTATCAGTTCAACTCAGCAGCCTAACATCTAGGCCAATGCAACTCTTGGGAGCTGGTGGCTGGTGTTTAGCACAAGCAGAGCAGCTATGTTTTACAGATGATGTGAAGGAGAGCAATAGGTGCTTTCTTGTGAAGGTGAAAAAAAAAAAAAAAACACAGAAAAAGGGACTTCATGTGCCACACATTTAAAATACGTTTATTGGAACAAACTCAATCTATAGATTTATGGCCACTTTACTGCTATTGAAAATAAACTGTAGTCCCACAAAATGGGGTTATCAGTGCATCTCATTATAACAGATTTGTGTATGACTGACAGGATTTCTTCTTGAAGTACTGGGATTCTTATTTGAATTCAGCCTTTAACAGAAAAAAATTCTGATAAGATGGTTGTAAATCCCCAGTGAAATAAACTTAGTGTCTCTGTAGGCTTTTTAATCAGGTTAATGTCTTTTCTTTTCTGCTCAGTTTTGTCCCTATATGCCCCCAAACCTTTCAGAGTAATTCTGACATGGATTAGGACCACTCAAGCCAGTCGTCCCCCATTACTATTGCAAATGGTTTTGATTTGGGGGCAGTAAATCTGGATGGCGTGGATCAGATGTTCTTAGCATGAATGAAGTGATAACCTTGTGAGTGGTGTCAGGACTCAGGATCCAGTGACTTCACTGGTGAAAGCTCCAGTACATATAAGCAGCTGCAGAATTCCCAGAAAGCCCCACACGTGGCAGAGAAGGGAATTTTCTGGGGTTTGGCAATTCCTGTGTTTTAAAGCTCGTGTTGATGTCGCTGTCTTGCCAAGCATCCAGAATCAGGCACATTTCTGTGTGAGTGCTGAAATGGAGGCTGACTAATTCTTAACGCCCAGTGACAGAGGCATGCTTCTACTTTCAGAGCACATTCTGCCTTTCACAGACCAAAGACACATACTCTTGGTCCAAGCCACACTTTTCCACGCAAAGCTTGTGCCTGGGTAGCAGTGTCCTGAGGAATCTCATGCTACTTCTCTCACACCTACAGTGATTTCTCTGCTGGCACCACAGCTTGCTCTTCTCTCTCCCTGATCTGGCTCAACCCTTGGTGTCTGTGGCCATAATTCTCATCCTCCATATTGACATAAAGCAGGATTAGATCAGCTAAGTCATGCTGATGTAAAACACACAAGAGGAAGAGGCCCAGTGTATTTTGCTGGCTCCCTTGTGCTATTCTGCACACATGAAAATGTTCGTATATGGCAAATCTCTAATGTTCCCCTCATATAAAATAACAGTTTGGAAGATGGCTTGTTTAAAGATAAGCATACATATACTGGATTAATAAATGCTACTAAGCTTTGACTTGGGAACTGGGGCCTTCTTATCCAAACTGTTCATCTACAAAGCAAATCCAGGAACCAAGGCAGAATAATCTATTTCAGTAACCAAAGCCAGCCCTACAATGAAGTTTCACTTTATTCAATGATTTATTTTATCTAATCTAAACATTTAAAATAATTTTTATTTAATAATTAAAAAAAAAAAAATCAGCTCTGAAATTAAATCACTTGTGAAAAACCAAAAAGTCTGTTTTTAAAAAGGCAAAAGAAGCTTTTTTCCTGCATTTCCTCGTGTCTTTGTGGATGAAGCTATTCACTTCATGAAACCTAAATTCAAGAATATTTTTTCTTCCTTTTTTTAAAATTTTGCCAAAATAAATTCATCTTACTCTAGTTGACATCCAAAGACATATAAAGAGAAGATGTTACGTAAAATATCTTAGCAAGAAGCAGAGTGGCCTTCTAATGTTAGCAGACTTCATCTTTCCATCAGCATCCTTTAACATTAAGGATACAGCTTTTACGGACAACTAATGTGTATTAGGGGCAGGGGAACTCTCACAGCTATTCTGTCACTGACTACCTTTTAAACAGGCTCATAATAAGATAATTCAGGTTGGAAGAGCCCTCAGGACGTCTCCCAGTCCAACCTCCTGCTCAAAGCATAATGAGAATCTCTAAGGAATTGCCCAGTGGAGTAAATTAACCCTCCTTCAGTTGCCCTACATATATTTAGTTATTCATAAGCAGTGCTGAAGTTACATTCAGAAACAGCTTGTGATATTTATTATAGCATGGGTATTTATTAGCAAGAAATATTTCTGAATGGCTGTCACAGTATATGGAGGTCTCGTAGGCTTCTCTGACAACAAAGGTCTTTGGCAGAAAGATTCAGTACCTTGTTTCTCTTCATAAATTTCCAGGTGTCCTGTGGCTATTTTGTTTGTGCTGAGACAAAATTAAGTTTGCCTCACTTTACCCTTTCCTTTCCAGAGTTTTTCCTTTTGGTTTTGAAGCTCTAGGTCACAGAATACCTCTTGCGTGGAACTCTGTCACTGCTTTGTGATAAACACACCAAAAAATTGTATATTCATAGCAAGTGGCCCTCTCCCAAGCAGCCGATTGCATAACCAGATCTTAACAAGCTAACATGGGGAAGTGAATAGCAGCCTGTGTGATATGAAGTTGAAAAGTGATGTCTTGTGATGGTCTAATCAAGGAGACATGAGGTGTGCATTGCTCACCACCTGGCGCCTCAGGGCGATCACAGACTCGCAGCCACAGGTGAGGTGCTGTGCAGCTGTGAACCCCCAGAGAAGCAGCTACATGCAAGAGCAGTCCCGCAGTGGTCAGAGGGGCTCTTCTCTTTGAAACATAGGAGAGGTTCATAGCCTGGATCCATCTACAGTGGAAGCAACAGAAAAGGACCTACCAGAAGATCCTGAAGCAGTGATACAGGATCTTTATGTTCAAACTGCTTTTTTAAAGCCCACTCCCTACCATTATGCAAAACACACAGACAAGCCAGTAACAGAAAACCTCTTTTTCCTCTGTCTCAGCAGCACTGTTTCTAAAAATGCTGCTCAGTCCTTCTTCTTTTCTGGATCACCCTTTACAATTATTTCACTCTGTCATCATGCCTAAATACTGCAATGAACAGACTAAGATCATGGGGGAAAACACTTTTCAGTTGTTTTTTTTTTTTTCCAGATCAGCCAATTAATTTTACAAATTAATTTAACTGTTCAGCCATTAATCACTACAGTAGTAGCTGATGGGACTAGACTGCAGAGCCTTCTGGCAACTCTTGTTATCAGTTCAGTGCTACTGCTAAGGGGGCTACCTATATTTTAAGCTTAAGTGGAGATCTGTGGGCTGATAAACTAGAGGACAGCACTTGAACAGTAGATTTATTTTTTTTTAATCAATAGAATCCACCCCAAAAGATGGCATAAAGGCCATTTTTTCACATTTAGAAATTAGAAGCAACACAAACACAGAAATAAAGTATTTGATCATGGTAAAAACCCCAACTCTCTAGATTTTAATCAGTGGGGTAACATTTTTAAATACTGGCTCAAGAGGAAGTGTTTTGTCCAACACAGATACAGGCAATACGGGCAACTTTCAGAAATCTTTTCTAGTTCACGTCACTGGCTAACCATATCAAATCCAATTAATGAATAACAATTATTAAACAGAAACAAGAATTGGAACATGTGTAGTGGCTTGCTATGGTGTGCTTGGGTAAGGCTTCTGTAATAAGTAACTACTGCAGAATGAAAAAAAAGCCCTGTCAGGACAATTTATGCTTGAGAATGACGTTTAGATAGGTGACTGTATTTTAACAAGTTTAAGGGGGTTTTTCTCCCCAATTCCTTTGCATAAAATTTTTCTTTAAGAAATAAAATTAATTTGAAGGATGAAAATGTCTCCCTAGATACAGACATACATACAAATACGAATGGAAAGAGTATGAAATGGAAAATAAGAGAATAAGCTCAGATATTTCACATACCAGAGACGACGCAACAGCACCCATTTGCCTATAGTAGTGAATTTCTTTCACAAACATCCTGTTCAACCCTAGGATAAGAGTGAACTTAGACTATCTTGGACATCAGTTTCCCGGAGCAGACAATGAAAACAAAAGATGGCTTCTGAGAGTAAAAATTCCATTAAAATTTTGCAGTCTCTCTGAGACAAGAGGTACAAGGGTCATATAATCTAATACAGTACAGAAAAAAACAAGGTCTCAAATATATCTGTAACACCACCTAAAGATGAAATGACCTTCCCAATCCAATACCATTTAATAGACCAAGCTGTTTCATGCCACCTTGTTTTAGGGTTAGAGTCATGTGGTCTGTTACCTGTACTAGATTATTTCTATGGGAAAAAATGTTTCTAAAATCATAGGAACCATATATGTAGCCATCAAGGACAGAGGAAAATATCCTAGCTAGTCAATCACTCCCCTAGAGAGAATCCCTGAGCCAAACTTGGTTTTATTATTATAGTAGGACTTTTTACATCAGTGGAGGTGGAGAGAGGAAAAAAGAGGAAGGATTGTTTTTAACATTTTCCCTCTGGCATTGTTGTTCTGCAAAGGCATGAGTCCAAGCAATGTACACAGAGCAATAACATCCACTTACAGTACATCCACTGCTGAATGCAAAATCGTCATCATTCTCAGGACTGTAATTGCACTTTCTCAGAAATGACGAGTAAGCGGGTCACTAAAATATTCTGTAACATGCAGTATCTAACTGGTAGATGGGCTTTGACCTGCTGTTTTCTGTTTTTAAATATTTTGGGATTTGAAAGTTCAGCCTCAAGCACACATTCATCTATGGCAGTTCAACTGTCATTCGTAATACAAATCAAAAGATGATGGATGGCAGAATCTGCCCAGAAGTTCAATTCCTGCTAGGGTCATTCTGTCCGTAGTGACCACTTTTCCACACTAACTACATCAATTTACCTCACCATAAGCATTTTTTACACACAAAAGCACATAGATGTGTATAAAGCATTCATCTAACAACTATAAAATTTCTCTGGTCTAAAGCTTTTCAACTGCCAGATTTGTTTATGCGCACTGTGCCTTCTGACATTATCGCATTTTCCACTGCCACATGAAAACAGAAAAAAAAATCAGAGCATCCATACGTTCATCCTATACTGTACTGCTTGTGTTTCTGTAGATGAAGCTTCAAATCCTGTATGTAGAAGAAGAGCTGGATGAATATTTTAAAACATATTTGTGAAAATATTCGGATTAATTTCTCACTGAATAGATTTTAATTGCACTCTGGTGCAGTCTCTTACTTCATGCAAACATGCTGGTAGAAAAGTTTACTGGCAAGAATGCCTGTAGAAATAGTACATTTTACAAAAATATTTACAGTAAGCACATTTTCTATATATAAGTACATGTATTCACACAAACTTGACTCCTCCAGCAAGAGAAACAAAAATGTGACTGAATACATATCCAGTCAAAATAGCTAAAGTTTAACTTGCAGGAGCAAAGACTAGAAATAATGTGTTCACAACCAAACAAGGGATAATTAATTATTATTAAAGTGATTAAACAAAGAATTGCTGAATTACTACTACACTCTGCAGACATATTATTTCAAAGGTTATTTTCAAGCAGAAAGGAAGCCATAACATGAAATGGGTCACAGAATCAAAGAATCAACTAGGCTGAAAAGGACCTTGAAGATCATCCAGTCCAACCATTGACCTATCACTGACAGTTCCCAACTACACCATATCCCTCAGTGCTATGTCAACCCAACTCTTAAACACCTCCAGGGATGGGGACTCCACCACCTCCCTGGGCAGCCCATTCCAATGCCTAACAACCCCTTCTGGAAAGAAATGCTTCCTAATATCCAGTCTAAACCTTCCCTGGAGCAACTTGAGGCCATTCCCTCTTGTCCTACCACTTGTTACTTGGTTAAAGAGACTCATCCCCAGCTCTCTGCAACCTCCTTTCAGGTGGCTGTAGAGGGCGATGAGGTCTCCCCTCAGCCTCCTCTTCTCCAGACTAAACACCCCCAGTTCCCTCAGCCACTCCCCGTACGACCTGTGCTCCAGACCCTGCACCAGCTTCGTTGCCCTTCTCTGGACACGCTCGAGTCATTCAATGTCCTTTTTGTAGTGAGGGGCCCAAAACTGAACACAGGAATCGAGGTGCGGCCTCACCAGTGCCGAGTACAGGGGTCAGATCCCTTCCCTGTCCCTGCTGGCCACGCTATTGCTCACAAGCCAGGATGCCATTGGCCTTCTTGGCCCCCTGGGCACACTGCTGGCTCCTGTTCAGCCGGCTGTCAATCAGCACCCCCGGGTCCCTCTCTGACTGGCAGCTCTCCAGCCACTCCTCCCCAAGCCTGTAGCGCTGCTGGGGGTTGTTGTGGCCCAAGGGCAGCCCCCGGCATTTGGCCTTATGGAAACTCCTCCAGTTGGCCTCAGCCCATGGCTCCAGCCTGTCCAGGTCTCTCTGCAGAGCCTCCCTGCCCTCGAGCAGATCAACACTCCCACCCACCTTGGTGTCATCTGCAAACT